TACGAACGCCGCGACGAGGGGTACACCGACGAATCCGATCCTAAATACGAACGCCGCGATGTAGGGTACACCGACGAGTCCGACCCCAAGTATGAGCGCCGCAACGAGGGGTACACCGACGAGTCTGATCCCAAATACGAGCGCCGCGGTGAGCTCACTCTCCTACCTATTGGCACGGCGCCCGCTGACTGGCCACATCAGGCAGGGCGTAAGTCGACACGGTCAAGATCAAATGATTAAGCACACGCGTCGCCTTGCCGTGGTTGTCATGCCCTTTCGTCCCGACAGCGGCGCATTGTCGTGTCGTCTAGGCTCTCCTCCAGTGACTATCTGAAGCGCGTCGTGTTCTGCACCATATATCTGTAAATGTATCATCCCACCCATCGCCGCCTGTGCTACCCTCCGAACTGATCGCACGAATAAACTGTTAACTATCCTGTCGTGTCATTATTGGGCACTGCCATGTTCACACTCTCGTATGGCCGCAACGCCCCCAGCGGAGAATGCCTTGTGGCACTTTGAGATCGCACCCTGCCACCTGGCAGCACACCGAGGGTTGCATAGCCATGTGAGTCAGCACAGACAGGACCAAGATGCAGAGGGACTTCCCAAGGAAGCAGCCTCCTCGCTGTTGAACGAGAAGGTAGCGTGGCGGTGCGTTGAAGCCGTGTGAGGAAGGCGAGGAAGGCGAGGACGTTGCCCTTGGCGAGCATGCCACACACATCGGTGCCCGTGATTCTGCCGGCATCGATGATCATATTTTCCTGGAGCAGGTGCAGGGCAGAGGGGGAAACCATACGTGAGCTCTGCGGGTAGGTGGACGGCCGCGCGGGGGGTGTGGACAGCGGTGGTTGCTGCTTGTCGGGCACGGAGGAGGGGGGAGTGGACGAGGAGGCCGCGGGCGTGGAGTCCTGTCTTGGGGGGGGGATGATGGCGGGAGAGGGGTGAGCAGGTGGCGGCGGCACAACGAGTCCACCGTCATCTTGGTATCCAACGGGATGGAACTGGGTGATCAAGCGAGACGGTGGCAGAGAGCCGAGCCGGCGGTGGGGTGGGCGATGGCAGCGGCTTAATGTGTCCGCCGTCGTCTTGGTGTTCAGCAGGATGGAGTCGGGTGGACAGGCGAGACGGTGACGGGAGAGGGTGAGACGGCGGCGACAGAGAACGAGGGTGGGAGGATGGGCGAGACAGAAGCTGAAGGGGGCGAAATGATGAGGGGGTGGGGGGGAGGGCGGCGTGCGAGGAGGGCGGCATCGAGGTCGGACAAGTGCTCCAGGATGTGGCTGGAAGCACTCGGACAACACCTGGGCTACTGTCAAATGGCACTCACCAGCTTCCTCTCACCTCTCTCAGTACCCTTGACCCGGCTCCCGTTCTTGACCACGCTGCTGTCCTCGCAGCTCGTCCAGCTGCGATCCCTTCCGCCAATGCTCGCCATGCTCCCGAAGCGCTCGAAGCAATCACACTCGCTGTCCCCCGCATCCCCTCACTCGAGATCGAGCCACAGTGCGAGGTTGCATTGACCGGCGCACCGAACGAGTAGTCGCTGGCGGGCAGCGGCCCCGGAATGTCCACATCCTGCGGCCGGCTCGACGCTACGAAGGAATTGGCGCCGCTGATGATGTTGCTCATGAACTTAGGCCACGGTGGCCGCCATACGCGCGCGCGCACTGTGCACGAGCGCGTTTATGGGGAGCAAGGTGCGTATATCGACATTGTGTGGCTCGCTCAAGTCGGAGTGGAACTCTTGAAAGCTGCGGAGGGGATGGTAGCCGTCACCAGCACCAGGGGGAGCGGGAGCGGGGGCGGGTCCGGACACCTGCACGGGGTCGACGGTCTGGTTCACGTCTGGTGCAATTTGCGCAAATAGATGCTGGACGAGCCGTTGCACGTGCGAGCCGGGCGCGACAGAGTACGCAGCGGGGGGCGAGGGTGGACGGGCTAGGCGATCGCCGCACAGGGCAAAGGAGGGTGGATGGGTGAAGCGGGGGTGGTACAAGGAGGCCGCCGTCGTTCAATTGCACTTCAGCGATACAGCGGCGTAGCGACGAACGTTTGAAGTCAACGCTTCAGCCTCTGAGAGCAAGCTGAGCTACCGAGGCCGTCTAGTTTGAGAACGCCATTTCTACTGATCAAGTAGCGTGACGAATTGGGGACCCTGCACGACAAGTTCTCCGCTCTCCTCATACACTTTCACACTCACTTAACAACACCCTCCGCTTGAGTACAAAAGAGAGAATATCAGACCTTATGCCGAGACTGACAGTCAGCCCCTTGAACAACACTCTTTGTGAATGTTGTTGTAAAAGAGCCAGACATGCGTTAAGGGCTGGTACTTGCAGAGTCTCACATATGTTCATTGTACAAGGTTTCTCGTTACCACTTCCATCTTACATTTGCTTGTCAAAGCGTTTTGTGGTGTGTAGAACTATACACTAGCGATTGCTCATCAAGTACAAGCATTGGCTTGTTGAATCCGATTGCCCGATGCGCTCAATGATTCTAGTTCAGGATTGCCAAGTTGTACTACCATCAAGTCTCCAAGTATTCTTTGACGTATGTCATCCCTCTCCACTCCTCTCTTCTGAGGTTCTAATCGGGTTCTGCTTCAGCTCTATTAGCATACTTCAAAGTTAAAAAGTTGGAGAAACGTTAGAGCTGCGGCATAATCGGCTC